GACCCAGTAACCTTCCTACTATGTAAAACACAAGGAGGTCAAAGAGAGAAAGGACTCATATATACCAAAATATTTGTACTGGCGCTTTTTTTTTTTGGAGTGGGGGAAAGGAGAAGGCGACAAAAAAACTGGAAGCAAATTGAGTGCCCATTGACTGGATGATGGCTGAAAAAAAATGTAATGCAAATATTGCCATACAAATTAATGGAATATTATTGTGCTGTAAGAAATGGCCAATATAAAGCATCAAGAGAATCATGGGATGGCTTGTAAGAACTAATGCAGAGCAAAGAAAACAAAATATTGAGACCAGCATAGACAATGATGACAATAATGTAAACCGAAACGACATTAAAGGAAAGCCAAATTCTGATGAGTTACAATGAATGGCCTTCATCCTGCAGAACAGATGAGAAAACATACTTCCCTCCTCTCGGGATGGAGGTGGGGATCTATGGGTGCAGAATGCCGTCAAACACTCCCTTTGCCAGCTGACTTTCCTTTATTAGTTTTCTTTGTTACAAGGGAAGGTTCGATGTGAGGGCAGAACTATAAAAGGAAACAACTGGCATGGGGGAAAGACCAAAACTAAAACTTTTTTTTGAAGAAAAGACGGCAGAAAAAAAGAGCTCATTTAGCCAGCGAGGAAGCAATCGATTTGAATTTACACCAGAACACCAGTGTTAACACTTTCATTCTTTCAACAAACGAAATCACGTAACCATAAGATATTTCAATCTTTGAAATTTAAAAATGTCACCTCCAACATTACAAATATCCCTTTATGTCAATGTGGTATGGAACAGACAAGGTACTGCTCAGGGGGTTTTCTAACAGCTTTTAGGATTTGGTTTTCATTTTTTTGAGATCTCTTATCCAAGCAACAACATAAGCCAAGTCTACATAACAAAGGATACCATAATATCTCAGCTGATTATGTGGTAAGGGAATTAAATCCAATCTAATCCAATTGAACAACATTAATTAAGCACCTGTTAGTTTCAAGGAGCTAATAGTAAACTCTAGAAACAAAAAGGCCAAAAAAATTAGTCTCTGGCTTCCAGAAGTTTACATTCAATTGGAGGAAAGCAACATGTAAATTCAATTAATCAACAAGCACTTACTAAGCACTTACTATGGCCAAATACTATGTTAAATTCTAGAAACATATATTTCAAACTGAAGTTAAGCATATTTAAGGAAATATACTTTACATATGTTTTTTTCTTCTTACCTCTGGCTCCTTGGGATTTGTATAAATCTGTTTTAATAAAAAGTAAAATTTAATTGATTTTTAACATACTATTGTGCCTACATTGACTATAGGCCAGGAAGAGTTTACTTGTACTGTATTAACCGAGGATTGAATTTGGTTACATAATGGCTCTCCATTAATATCCATTGGTTTCGCCAATGTAGGTTCCAAGCCCTTCCTTTATGGCTTGGTCCACCTTCTCCAAGAGTTGCCTACCAAACAGTTTCTCACTCCAGAAGAATGCACTCTAGTGATGTGCCAGTCTCTTTGAACTGAGCTCAGCTGGTCCTGCGATCATAGGCAGATGGGCCTAATTGGTCTGTGTCTGGAGTCTTTCAGCTAGACAGGACCTTCTGATGTTAAGGGGAACCTCTCAGATTCCTCCCCATTCCCAACCACATACATAATTTTGCCATTTCCAAAGAAAAGTCAACAAAATGTCTGCAAATTGAATTTTAAGTTCACAAGGTAACCATGAGGATGGGTCCCCGGCAACAACCGAGGGAAGCCAACATGTTTTTGTAGTTCTCATAAATACACTTTGAAACACAAAAGGATCACGTCTCACTCTTCCAAAGAATAAGGAAGGGGGGGGGGGGGAATGTGGGTTTTGAAATATTTACTTACTGCAAGCGCTGCCACGTGAAGCTGCATGAGAAAGGAAAATGATTGTTAGTATACATCTATGCGTGCATGGGCTCCTGTTAGTACAGACATAGATAAACTAAACATGGCTCTGGAGATGATCCAAAGGCTTGAGAGGCAGGCAGCAAGCATTTATTAAACACCAACTGTATGCCAGGCACTGTGCTAAGTGCTGCGGATACAAAGGGAGGCAAAAGATAGTCCCTGTGCTGCTTGTATTACTTCTCCATCCAAATCGCCTTTATTAAATAACTATAGGGTGCACAGCCGAGGCCTTCGAGAAATTACAAGGGCGGCACCACGCCATTGCTTTTTACATCGATTCAGCTAGGAAGTGAGTCTACAAAATAGAATAAAAGCCTGATCTAATACCTTTAGCTTACAGTCTGAATGCTGTTCATGCCCCACCCCACCCCCGTTCTCAAGCCCCTTTTCTGGGGCCCTGAACTCCTGACGGGTCAGAGTTGCCACATGTGGGAGCTCCAGCCATCTCCCCAGTACCCTCTGCCCCTAGTTTACCACCTCTGGGCCCTGAGAACAATAATCAAGTTGATGCCACCCTTCCTGGAAAGAGCAGGTCAGTCACTCACCCTCGGGCTCCACTCACCATTCATCTGGGTGGCTTCTTAGGCCAGAGCCCACCCCTCCCTCCCCTATGTGTGCTATCCTCCCCTGTTAGAAAATAAGGTCTTTGAGGGCTGCTTTTTGTATTTGTGCCCTTACTTAGCACCACACCTGGCACATATGGTGAACTAAAGAAATGAGTTTTTTTCATTCATAGGATCATACAGCTAGAGCTGGAAAGAACCTTAGAAGGCAATGAGTTTGACCCCTTCACTTTACAGGAAGGAAAAAGGTGGCAAGAGAGGCATTGACTTGCCTGAGGTCACTTTTGAGCCCAGATCTTCCCTAACTGAAATCCAGGGCATTCGCCCGTTCAGCACCAATGTTATGACCGGTACTGCTCTACTTGGACAAGCACAGAAATTCCAAAGTAGTACACAAACAATTTTATGGTAACTCAGAGCACCAAACTAAGCTCTACACCATTCCAAAAGCGGCAGAGTTTGACCTCATGTACCTATTGATGGGCCGTTAGCGACACAACGTGGCTAGTCTGATTAACTGCATGTCTGTGACTAAAGCCCACAGCTCCAAACACTTACAACACGGGGCTTTACTGGAGGCGGCTCCGTGGGTCTATCAGACACTTTAGGAGAAAACAGAACTGGGTCTTAGGTGCAAGTGAGGTAACTGCACAGAGCTTTTTGATAAAATGCTCTCTTAAGAGTTATCCCACACTTACTGTGTGAGCTTTACAAACGTGACAGAGACCCCTCAAAAGAGTAACTGTTCTTTAAAAGAACTTATTTTTAAAGTTTTGAGGTATTCACTCTGTATTAAACAGTAAATAGGGGGCTCCTAGGTGGCGCAGTGGATAGAGCAACTGCCCTGGAGTCAGGAGGACCTGAGTTCAAATCTGACCTCAGACACATAACACTCACTAGCTGTGTGACCCTGGGCAAGTCACTTAACCCCAACTGCCTTACAAAAAAAACAAAACAAAACAAAAAAAAAAACGTAAACGGGCAGCATGCCATAGCAGCACAGTAATTCAATCAAACAATCAGTCGATTCCGTAAAACAAGTCAGTCAAATTTCTACTCCTTCTCTCCATCGCCCATGACCACCTCGATCCAGGCCCTCCTGACTCTTTTCCCAGTTGCCCAAAGCCTTTCCCCACCCGTGTCCAGCATTTTCCCAAAGTGCAAACATAACCACTTCACACACCTCCCTAGGCCTCTCTAAGCTCTGGTGGCTCCTAGAGATACCTCTATTTGGTTTTTAAAGCTCTTCACCGTCTTGCCCCAACCTGTTTTTCCATCTTTTTTCAGCCATCACTCCCTCTCCTGCATTCTGGATTCGGCCAAAGTAGCCTTCTCTCTGTCTCCCACACAAGATCGTCCATCTCCAGTCTCTGTACCTTTGCACTGGCCATCCCCCGTGCCTGGAACGCCCTCTCTCCTCACATCCACCCCACTGAGGCCTTCTCTTTCTTTAAGATGCACATCATCTTTCTGAAGCTTTTCCTGATCCCTCCAACTGCTAGTGCCCCGCCTCCCAAACTACTACCTCGGATTTATTTGTATTAATTCTCTGCATATTTACTGGGTGCATACATACACACATATAAAATAGGTAAATAAGCTATTAATGCTTAGAACTGCACCAAGACTTTTGGGACACCCTGTACATGCGTATGTGTATGTAACACACATGGTATATTCCAGGATCCACAGCCTTGAATGGATGCTTCTTGTGAGTGGAAATGGTTTCCTTCATCATCTTCACATCCCCAGTACCTAGTACCTAGTAGGTCTTTAATAAATACTTGCTGACTGACACAGACCTTCTTAGTGAATTTAGTCAAGCAGTCCATCTGCTAGCCTCAAAAGGAAGCTCTTGTTCAGGGGTGAGGAAGCTGCCACCTTGAGGCCACATGTGGCCTTCTAGATTCTTACGTGCAGCCTTTTTGACTGAATCCAAATTTTACAGAACAAAACTTGAGGCCACACGTGGCCTCAAGGCCAAAGGTCCCCCATCCCTGTTCTTGGCATTCAGGATGCTTCCCAACTGTCTCTCTGATTCACGTCAATTCAATTGGCTTAAGATGTACTCACTCAAGAGGTTTCTGGAACTGACGTCAAATGAAAGAGGGCACAAATGAGAAAGCAGAGATGAAGAGGGAATTACAGAGAGGGAAAAGGAGCAAAGTGGGCCCTGAGCTTACTGCCTGTCAGACTCGCCAGCCTGACTAGACAGGACGCACTTTCTAGCAGGACTGTGTCTCACGTATCTTCTTTACTAGTTTTCTGCTGCCACCTCGAACTCTTCATGTCCAAAATTGAACTCATCCCTCCACCAAAAAAGCCTGCTCTTGTCTCCCCCCCAACTTCCCCATTGTAATGAAGCCACCATTCTCGGGTCATTTAAGCTCAGTCTCTCTTCCTTGACCTCTCCCTCCCTACATCCAATCAAATGCCTTGTTGATTTCACCCCAACAACATATCACTCCTCTCATTTTCATTCCCACTGCCACCACCCTAGGCCCTGTTTCCTCCCATTAGAATGACTGCAATAGTGTCCTGGCCATGGTTCTCAACTCCAGTAGGTCCCTTCCCAATTAGCCATGTACAGAACTATGAGATTAATCTTCCTAATGTCCAATAGATCTGATCCTACTGCTTATCAAAATCTAGACTCCTTAGTCTAGCATTCAATGCCCTCCACAGTCTGGCTCGAAGCACCTTTATGTCACACTGCATACCCCTATTTGTGATCCCTGAACATCTGTCAGCCTACATTCTTTGCCCCTTCTGAGGCCTAGCTTCCTGAATCTGATTCCACTCACACTATTTCTAACACTGAATTATTTATTTACCTGGACAGTCTTCAATACAAATGAGCATTTAGGTTTTATCTGATATTGCAGTTATACGTGGATACATTTTACCGCCCCTCCCACTGAATTATAAATTTCTTAAGGGGCAGGACCGTGCCTTATTTATCTTGGGATCACCCTCAGTGCCTGTTTTGTTCAGAGTAGATACGTAAAATAGGCTTATTGGTTTTCCAGATGAATGAATGTTCTTCCATGTTGAATAGGAACCTTGAGGAAGCAATTTTCTGTGTACGTGTACGTGGGCACCAATACTGGTTGCCAGTACAACTAAAACATAAACAGTCTCCACAGGGCAAATTTTCCTTTCTTATCTTCAAGTTAAATCTCTACAATTATGAGTATATTCAAAGTGCTAAGTTCCAGATTCTTGTCTCCTCGGTTTCACATCCTGTGGACCTCTTCCAGTGACTTCAAAGGAAACTCTGTGGTCATGAGAGGGCCATGAGCTTATGAAAGAGAAAAAGAGCACTGGATTTCTGAGTGATGTCAAGTAAAGACATCAGTGAGACAAAGTAGACTTAAAACCTAAGCAAGCAGTTAATGCCAGCAACTGGAAAGGAAACTGGCCTATGAATGTAAATTCAGGCACAGATCCCGGGTCTAATCTTTGTTATCATTCTAGTTTGAAAAGCAATAAAAGATGGGCCTTTGATCACAACAGAAATCTTAAAAGACTTACATATTTCTTTTCCAAAGCATCAAAACAACCTTGAATCCTGCCAAGAAATAAATGGTCAATGTTAATGTGGGTCAATCTCAAAGAAAAAAAAAAAAAAGAGGCCCGCCAAGAAGAGAAGTTTTTATTTGCATTTATTAGCCTGAAGCAGCCACAAATCAATAACTCCTTGGATAGTCAGTCGCTATCCAAGACTGTCACGAATGTTGTGACACATCAACAAAGCTCTACGAGTAAGAGGCAGCATTAGCTTGGCAGTCTGGGAGCCCGGCCTTGACTCCTTTTGGTTGACTTTTTGCTTTCCTTTTGAAACAAATAAATTTTTTTCTTAAAATATTGGAAAATGGGATTATTGGATCATTTTCCACAGATGCCTATCCTAAAACATGAGACAATGCTATTAAACATGTATTTGCAATGCTATTTCTTTTTCTAATCTAAGCATTTAAAACCTGGTCAGTTATTTGACACATGATAAAAATGTTGTTGTTCGGCTCATTTTGAATTTGAGCTACTTACCATTTGACAACCTGCAGAGATCCAGGGTTTTTCTTATCTTCTCGAAGGATTTTTAAACTGAGGTCTATGAAAAGAAGACATTATTACTTGAATTGCATTTCTGTTCTAATTAAATTACCCAAGCTACAGTTAGCTATCCTCTCTCCTGATTTATAGATTCATGCAATATGTGAGCTGGAAGGGACCTTTGACATTATGTAGTTAAACTATGTCATTTTACTGATGAATAAACTGAGGCCAAGAGAAAATAAGTGACTCTTCCAAGGCCACACAGTTACCAAGTGGCAGGAGCCCAGATTTAAAGCTGGTCCTCTGTTGCCCAGTCCCATGTTCTGCCATGATGTCATACTATCTCAATTGCTTTGCTTACATTATTTATTTACCTTTACCATTCAGGAATGTGGTGAGGACACACACCTCCACGACCATGGATGGCAGTTACCTCTTCCAATTGGGTGTCCCACGTGTCTGTACAGGGAGTAGCCACTCTCATTTGGCTCCCAGCGCTTTCTCACAGCACAGACTGCCCCAGCTACTGCTGAGGAAGATGGGATATGGGAAGACAAGCAGGAGAGGTCATAAAGAGGGTCCCCCAGACCCACAAGACTCAGTGGGACATGCTGAGAGAGCAAGAGATACTTTGCCACAGGAGCTGGGAGAGAGGGAAAATATGGGAAGACTCATCCTAACTGACAGGAAGGAAAATGGGGAAATGTGATCGAGCATCCTGTTTCATAGCTGCCTGAGGATACAGTTGGTGTGAAAGGTGAGGCTTGTGGGACTTGCTTGAAAGACCAGATAGTCTAAAAGGGCCCTAACCAGGCCTGAAGGAGCTAGAAAGTGTCAAATCGCCCAGAGGCATGTCAGTCCTGTTTATTTCATCTTGAAAGAGCTGGAACACATTCCCAAGGAGAGATCCCAACTCAGCAAAGAGCTAGAAAAGAAAAACTGAATAGGATGATGGAGTATTGATAAAAGAAAACCTAAGAACAGTCTGTATCCCAAAGAGATCATAAAAATGGGAAAAGGACCCACATGGACAAAGATATTTACAGCAGCTCTTTCTGTGGTGGCCAAGAACTGGAAATTGAGGGGATGCCCATCCATTGGGGAATGGCTGAACAAGTTGTGGTATATGAATGTAATGAAATACTATTGTGCTTTGAGAAATGATGGGCAGGTAGACTTTAGAAAAATCTGGAAAGACTTGTATGGACCGATGCTGAGCGAAGTAAGCAGAACCAGGAGAACGTTGTACACAGTGACACCCATGTTGTGTGATGACTGACTTTGATAGATTTAGCTCTTCTCAGCAATGCAAAGATCTGAGATATCTCCAAAAGACTCATGAAGGAAAATGCTATCCACATCCAGAGAAAGAGTTTGGATGCAGATGGAAGCAGACTATTCGCTCTCTTTTTCTTTCATTTTGTTTCTTCTTTCTCATGGTTCCTCCCATTGGTTCTAATCCTTCTTTACAACATGACTAATGTGAAAATATGTTTAAAATGAATATATAGAGAGAGCCTACATCAGATTGCATGCCATCTTAGGGAGGGGGAGGGGAGGGAGTTAGAGCTCAAAATCTTACGGAAGTGAATGATGAAAACTAAAAATAAAGTAATTAATAATAATAATAATAATAAAAAGAAAACAGGAACAGAATAATGGCAACTGGCAGTGCAGTGGATAGAGCCTGGAGCTGAGCCTGGAGTCAAGAAGACCTGCATTCAAATCCAACCTCAGATACTTGCTAACTGTATGACCCTGGGCAAGTCACTTAATTTCTGTCTGCCTCAGTTTCCCCAACTGTAATAGCACCTACTTCCCAGGGTTGTTGTGAGAATCAAATGAGATCTTTATAAAGCACTTAGCACAGTGTCTGGCACATAGTAGGTGCTTAATAAATGCTTATTCCTTTCTCCTTCCCCTGCCTTCTCCAATGACTCGGGGAAGAGAGCTGAGCCACAGCAGTGTGCAGTTGGGTGTTAAAAAAAACCCTAAGTTCTTCTCCCTTCCAGGGCAGTAATGAGAGCTCTTTGGTCCCCAGGAACAGGTGGAGGCCCACTGGAAGGGGGCTTGCTTGACACTTTGGTGATCGCTGAGGTTTTTCTCTCACCAGTCATCTCACATAGGCAGGCATTATAAGTCCTTTGTCCTGTAAAGACACTTGGAGAAGGACAAGTGGAAGCCAAACAGAAAGAGCAGGAAGGGAGTCAGGAATGAATGCCTTCCGTCACCTCCCTGCTATTCTTCCCACCCCATATTCCATCTCCAGACTCCATTTTCACCAGCTAGTTTCCATGCCTGTAATTCTCTCCTTCCTCACCTCCACCTCCTGGATTTCTTCAAATCCCAGCTAAAGTCCTACCTTCTACCAAAAAACCTTTCCCAATGCCCCTTAATGCTAATACCGCCCTTCTGTGATTATCTCCAAGTTATCCTGTATATAGCTCATTTATACATAGTAATGTGCACGTTGTCTCCCCCTTTAGCGGTGTGAGTTCCTCAAGAGCAGAGACTATTTTTTGCCTTTTTTTGTTTCTGCAGAATTTAGTGCAGTGCTTGGCACATAGTAGGAACTTAGTAAATGCTTGTTAACTTGACCACGTGCTTTGCTGTGCACATAAAACTCATTCTGCATTTGATGCCTTATGAGCCTGAGTGCTTCTAATGGGAGCTGATGGCCATTCTTTGGGAAGTGCCAGAGATAGAGAGAAATGAGAGGTACCCAAAGTATAAGTTCATGTTAGGAAGAAGGCTCTGGCAGAATGGTTACATTAAAAAAATATTAACCCTAAATATCTATTTTTGAAAGAGATTATTGTGAGCTGACATGTACCTTGCTTCCAATTGGGATCATGGTTTGGTTTTTTTCCTTCTCTCCCTGCTTTCTCTGTAGCTCAGCAGTACTTGAGCTGACTTGCAAAAGGAACTTCTATACTTTTGCTGAATTCTAAAGGATTCCCTACAGGGAACGAATACGAAAAGACTGTCTGCGTGGATCTTGGCTTCCTCATTTGTAAAATGAAGCGGCTTGACTAGATGCCTTTTAAGGCTCCCTCTAGTTCTTAACATTCTGTGATTCACCAGTTCAAAATACTGATGTAATTTATCCCCATTTTCCTATTTTCCTTTCCTGAACCGAATTTTTTTAAAAGGAAGAGATTAAAAAGAGGAAAAAGTGGAGAAAACTTCCATTAATTATTCTCAAAATTCTCATTTCATCAGGGGAAATACAAATAGTTTTCTGTACTTAGGGAAAAACAAGGGGGTCCAATTAAAGAGAATTTTGACTTAATGTCTATATTAGGGAGTCAGGAGTCGAAACTAGGGCCCAAATCCATCACTGATTCACTGTATGACTTTATATGAGTCATTTTACCATTTCATACTTCTCTGTTCCCATCTTTAAAATGAAGAAGAGGCCAGCTCTGTATCTCAGGAGAGATGTGAAAAGTGCTCTATATTAGTAAAACATTTAGGGATTTCCAGAAGGGGAGTGATTTCAATGTATAGTAAGCATGCTTCTGATATAAGTGCACTTGGGGGCAGAGACCTTACATCAGATTTCTTAAGTAATTCCTCACCATCACCACTACACTGCCTAATGACAACAATGCTCAGTAGTAAATAGCAGAGACACATGAACATCTGCACTATCTACCTCAGCCATGGTTAAAAGGACCAACTGAAATAATGTATGGAAACCATTGTAGAGCTTTAACTAGTCGGACTGCTGTCTGAAAAACCAACCAACAAGCATTTTATTAAGCAGCCACTAGGGGGTAGGCAATTCAAACACAAATACAAAAGTAAGACATGCCTGTCCTCAAGGATCTTACATTCACTACAACACACTCGACATGAGATGGTCACCTCCAGAAAAGGGGAGCTCACTGTCTCTCCAGTTAGCCTCTTCCAATTTGAATGGGTCTAACAGAGACTACTTCTAAGGTGCTTTTGCGTGAGGAAAAGAGATTTAGAAGGGTTATGATATCTAATTTCAAATAATCAAAGGGTTACCACGTAGAACAGGAATTAACTCGTTTCTCTAGAGCCCCAGAGCACAAAACTAATGAGTGAACATGAGAGAGGAGCCAGTTTTAGCTTAATACTTTCTAACAAGAATAGCTCTTGAAAAACGGGAGCGAGCTGTCTCTTAACAAAGTCAGTTCTCTTTCACTGGAAGCTTTGTCCCATAGAATGGATGATCAACCCTGGCCATGGCAATTCAACTCTTGTATCTCAATTTCCCTAAATGTAAAACAAGGGGTTTGGATCGAGAAATATTTAAAGTATCTCCCCACCAGCTCTTATTGCCATGATGCTATGTTGTAGCAGGGATTCGGACCCTGGGTACATGACCCTTCAAGTTGCTTCCTACTGACAGTTTGTAATTCTTTAGCATTGTTAAAAAGGGAAGACACGTGTAAGCACTACAATCATTCGAGGAAGCCTTAGATTTTGCTGGTGGGAGACATTCATAATTATAAAAAGAGACAACATAGCAGAGTAGAACAGAGTGCAGGACAGAGAGTCCGGCCGTACCAGATTCCATTTCCATCAATGACATTTTCTGGCTGTGTGACCACAGATGAGTGACCTACCCTCTCTGAGCCTAGGACTCGTCATCTGTAAAATCAGGATGATAACATCTATAGTATCTACCTCTGTGGCAGTTATCAAGATCATCTGACACATTCTACACAATATAAAGGTGCTAGGTAAATGTCAATTATAATTGTTTCTAACAACTCTATTGCTGTTTAACAATACAAGGAAGCATTTCTCAAACTATAATGGCAATGACTGCACACCACAGAAGCATTTTTAAATGAGCAGTGTCATAGATCTTTACAGTTTCCTTGTCTCCAGGATATGAATTTCAGGGTGAGCCAGTATCAAATACAATTTAGAAAGGGAGAGTGTTAAGAATGAAATGAAATTAGGAAGAAACCAAAGCAAATCATTAAATTTGGAATTAAGAAGTTCAGTATAAAGATGGCTTGGGAAAAGTAACACCAAAAGGAGAAATTTAGAGAATTCTACCTGTATTTTTCAAATAGTTGTTACTAGTTTAATTAAAAGTGAGCAGAAGGTTTTCCAAATGACTGCTGTTCTAAAACAGCTTTCTGCTCAAATGCAAAAGTCTCATCACCTGAAAGGAGGAGATAAAAATAGAATGCCCAGAAGGAATTTTGAAAATGGAAGGGAAAGAAAAACAGAAACAATCTAAGACAATGAAGACAAAAAAATTAATAAAGATATGAAAAACAGACAAAGCTCAGACCATATAAACGAAGAGATCTGCCAATTGAGAGGAGGATAAAACTCATAGTTGCCAAAATACTTTAATTCTTCAAGGAATCACGATCTCATCACAGTTTGGGTATTCCTTCCACCAACGCAGATTGCAACCCCTTTATGACTCAGTAGATAGCATCTGAAAACTAAATCAAAAAGTAGTCTCCCTGAAGCCACACTAGCACCAAAGCTCTCCAAACTTACCTAGACTGGTCCTTCAACAACAGCCCTGTCACTGGGCCCATCTGCAGGGTCTCTCCGGCTCTATCATCACTGTCACCATTGTTGGCATGGAGACAACACTTTAAAGCTTGCAAAACCCTGTATGTGCACTATCTCGTTTGAGTAGAACCTTCCAGAGCTTCCCTGTCGGCCTGGGGTTTGAGAACCCAAGGTTTCCTCCATTCCATGGATGCATCATTAAAACTGGTCTTTAGTGATTTAAATTGCTAAAATTTCAATTCAAATTACTTGGGTTTGGCAGAAGTATGTATCTATTTTCTGAGCAACTCCAAACAGGCAAAATGGGCTTTGCCGCCGTACCCAATTAATGTTAGAAAGCAGTTCAAGTACAATTTCACTTTTGAGACCAAAATCCTGTCCTGGTAGACCACTCAAAACACTAAGCCTCAAATGGCCTTTACCTCAGCTGCTGTTGCCTCTGCAGATAAACCCCAGAGGTCCTAGACTCGCTCCCAGAGATTTATTGGCTGCTTAATCTGCCATTTGGTATCAAGCCAGGAATTAACGGCACTTAGTGGTAAAACTATTGAATCTGGGATAGTTAAATTAAAGAGGTATGTAAATGAACAAATCAATCACGAAGAGCTGGCACAGGCCTGGGGATTAACACCTTCCGGTGACTAAGAAATGGTAGCTGCTACCACTAAGCAGAGCCAAGAGGAAAATATCGGAATTAATCATTGACTTGAGCTTTACCGTCTAAACGGCGGGTTCCATAAGAACTCTCTGGAAACAGCCCCCGAAGGTATGTAATACACGAGACAGAAGTGGCAAAGAGCTTCTTCACCAATATTAGAGATTGGCGCTCAGTGGTGATTTGCATTGGGAACACAGCTGTTTCCTAGAGGGAAAAAAATGGTAAAAATGAGCATTTGGAAAGATCAGCACACACAGTAAATCCCACATAATCTAGATTGTAAAGGGGAAAGCTGTCTCAGGACATAAAAGCATCAGATCCTGTATGGGGGAAAGAAGTGCTCATAAGGGAAAGGGGCTCCCCAAAAAAGAAAAAAAAGTATCAGGCCAGAATTCCACAGCCAATCAAAATGAAAGAGCTGAGCTGATTATCCTCTCTTTAATTCAGGCCCAAACCTTACTTCTGTCAGAACAATCTCAGCACTGAGGGTACAAGGGTGGTTTTTCAAGACATTGTGATCATCATCACAAACCTTTCATTGAGATAGCTGTTGCTGCTCAGTCTTGTCTGACTCTTGTGACCCCACGGACCATCGCACACCAATACTGTCCATGGAATTTTCTTGGCCAAGACACTGGAGTGGTTTGCCCTTTCCTTCTCCAGCTCATTTTACAGATGAGGAAACTGAGAAAAACAGGGTCAAGTGACTTGCCAGGGTCACACATCTAGTCAGTGTCCGAGGCCAGATCCCAACTAATGGGTAGCCAGGAAGACTCAAATCTGGCTTAGTTTACTAGCTGTGTGACCCTGGGCAAGTCACTTAGCCTTGTTTGCCTCACTTTAGTCAGCTGTAAAAATGAACTGGAAAAGGAAATGGCAAACCACTCCAGTATCTTTGCCAAGAAAACCCCAAATGGGGTCAGGAAGAATCAGACACAAGTCAACCACAACAACAACAACAACAACAACTTCCCAGCTCCAGGCCCAGCGCTATCCCAGAGCCACCTAAATGCCTATTGATTGAGACTAGCGTCCTGCTAATCCCAGAGGATAAAATGTGATGAACACTTCCTCTCTCCCTCAATTCATCAGTTGGAGAGATAGTAGGCCTTTGACCAATGGATTTCTTCAGTCCACCCTAGAGGTAGTCAGAAAGAAAAGGGCACATAAGAGAGGTAATGAGATGTTAAACTAATTGCAAGGCCGAACCCTACCTCTCCTCACCAGTGTAAACTGTTACTCTGAATTAGAAGAGGATCTTGGGATTCACTGTCTGCAAGGCGGCTATGCCCACTGGAGGCGGGGTCTCCTCCACAAACTGCTTCCAGTGGGCACTCCGACTGACTGCGGGGCTGACCAACTAAGCCATTCAAAAGGCAAGAGAAAGTGGGAGGGGGCTCTTGAGGCCTTAATACCTCCATTTGTGGGGAGGGGGCAGAATTCCATTGGTCAAAGACCAACTGCCCCTCTACGTAGACAACTGTACTCAGTGCTGGGGACAGAAAGACAAAAGCGAAATAGTCCCTGCCCAAAGGGGACTTACATTCTGAAGGGCAGACAATAAATAGAGACATACAAGCTGAGCACTGAGGAGATGAGTTGTTACGGTTGTTTGTCCTTTGCTCTGGAAGAGGATCATGACTTCAGGAAGGTGATGCCACAACATGTAAGTGTGAGGCAGGGCTGTGCAGAGTAACCAGCCTCCCTTTCTCCTCCAGAGCCATCTGGGCCCAGTGGAAATAAAGGGTCTTCTTAGAAGGGAAGGTACTAGGGCTCTCTCTCCAACTTGGGAAATGATCTTTGTGGCCAAAGGTGATAATTCCTCACCTCACAATGAACCTGCTGGCCGGCCTCTCCAAACTTGGGCAGCCTGCTCTCAGATTACAGACGGAATTTCTCCCGGGGTCCAGACAAAGCCTTTCTGTCTTAACAGGCCCTGCTAGAGTCCGGTTTCCCTTCCGGGTCAGCCCCACACCAGGTTAAAAAGCACTGGGGGACACATTCTTAAGATTCTTTATAAGAGGAAAGTTAAAAGAGGAATAAAAGAACATTGCTGCCCTAGAAAGCCTGGTGACCTGGAGAAACAGGACATAGCCTATGCCAGCTTGCATCAAATCTAAGGGCAATAAGTTTTAGAAAAATTTAAAATGTGATTATTAAAGAATGGCTTTTAGGGG